CTCACAAGGAAGAAAATAAAATGTGGAATTTGGATAATATGACTGATGCAATGCTGGAACCGGTAATAATTAACATTGGAGTTGAAGATTCCGTAGATTCTGAAGAAAGCAGTGGATCTGAAATGGAATTTGATTAAAATAATATTCATTTTTTTACAAATCGGCCCCTGTTACGGCCACAAATTATTTTATATATAATCAATAAAATAAACATCTTATATTTCTTGCAAATTCATTAGTACCTGTTAATATCCATCACTCTGACACTGGCAACTTTATTTAGGGATTAGTAACCCTCAAAACTATTGTATTCTATTCTGCTTCAACCTTTATACCTGGTGGTCATAGTCAATTTAAAATTGTTTTCCTATATACTTCTGTAAACTTGTTGACAAATATCTATTTTTCATTGAGTCACCCCTATCAACAGTTTAGGGATTTGCATACATAATGTGCTATCAATATATGGAAATGGACTATAGCGAATATGTTAGCCAACATGATATCCAACGATCGATAACGGCCATGAAACTAGAAGAAGAAGAATCAACAATTCAAGTGATAATGATAAACAATTTTCTTAATTTTAAATAAATTAGCTTAAATTAAAAGTAACATTCGTTTTTATTGCATAAACTTAAGATATAAAAAATTATACACGCAAGTTGGTGTTAAAAAATTTGTATACACGCGAGTTCTCACGTTATAAAAACTAAGGGGAGTTCTCGCGACTACTTTAAAAACTAATCGTATTGCAGATACTATAAGATTGCAATGTAGCCCGTCTCAGACGCAACAAAAATTGCATTTTTTATAAAATTTCTTATTGTTAACAACTTTAACAAACAGTTGTAATTTTCTTTCATATACATCAACGTTCGTGACCTCAAATAGCATCGTGTGCATCGTCGCCTTGTAAATAGATACATCCTACCAAGGCTAAAATACACACAATTTAATTGTGTTCATACACAAACATTCCTTTCAATGCAAAGTCGAAAGTTTCGAGAAGATATTTTTAGTAAGGAAACATCAAACTACACGTGAAGGTGTACATCATATTCCGTTATTATTTGCATGTAGGCTCATCAGGCAATGAACTCTTTACATACTCGTATATCAGAATACAATTTCATTGCAAATTTCAATCGATAACATTAACGAAAACACTTTTTTTGATACGTGAAAAAGTTTGTACTTTATGTGTAACGTTTCGATGACATTTTGTGTTAAGTTTTAATTATAAAACATCAAAACTAATGCTATTCTAATGGCAATTGGTTTTTTTTTTTTTAATATTTTCTTAAAAGAAATATTTTTATTAGCTCTATTTTCTGAGACACCATACAGTTCCTGTAAACAAACTCTGGAACCTTTTCTCAATTTCTATGGCTTCTCGGATAATTGTTGGTTTATAGAAGCGGATGAGGGCTATGGTTCTGGAGTTTTCAAAATCAATTTTGTGATTTTTATGAAGATGGTGTTGAACTAGAGCTGAAATTAAGTCGGAATTGCGAACAGAAATGGAATGATCATAAATTCTATTTGGGATTCTACGATTTGTTTGGCCTATATAAGATAAAGACGAAGACAACAATAAATACAGAGAGATAAACCACGAGATCAGGAAGATAATAAAGCAGGCAAAAGAAAGATACTTTAAAGAGAAATGCAAAGAGGTCGAATACCTTCAAAATAAATATGATCTGTTTAACCTACACAAGAGAGTTAAATAACTGGCAGGAGTAAGAAAACTCACTCGTGCAATTCTGGATAGACAAGGAACTATAACACATACGGATGAGAAAGTACAAAAATTCACATATAAGTAGTCTGCTAATCTCTATACAATTAAACATATCCAAAACTACTGTTCTAAGGATTTTAAAACATCACAGGTTGGTTTTTCATATTATAAAATAAACGTTTAGGTCAGAAACTTGGAATTCTCTTTAAACTTTAGATTCAACTGTATTTCCATATTCCGATAAAAACGGCAACACGGTACTTTTATCCTTTTATTCGTTTCTTAAAAATACTTATGCTCGATTTATCTTGGGAAACAATTGTGGATTTTTCAAGATTCTTTCAGTTTTAGGAAATATATTGAGTTTCTTTTTTACCAATATTTGTTGTTCTGGTTTTTTATAATACTGCATCCTAATCATGTAGTTCTCCACCAAGCTTTACGTGAGAGAGATTTTGATGCAAGGCTGGATTACTGCAATTTGATATTAGGTCTGCTAGAAAAGCAACCGCATATCATATCAAAGATTTTGTGGACAGACGAGGCTACATTTAATAGTGCGGGTGGTGTTAATCCGCATAATATGCATTATTGGGCTAAAGAAAATCCGCACTGCATACATGAGGTGAAGGTTCAAGGTAGATGGAGTCTTAATGTTTGGTGTGGTATAGTTGATGGAAAGATTGTAGGTCCATATTTCTTTGATAGAACTTTAAATGGCGAAACATATTTGGATTTTCTGGAAAATCAGTTGCTTGTTTTATTGGAAGATATATTCTTACAAACAAGAAGAGATATGATATTACAATATGACGGGTGTCCTGCGCACTTTTCCAGACGAGTTCTAGATTATTTGTATGCAAGTTATCCAAATAACTGGATTGGAAGGAAAAGTATATTTTCATGGCCAGATAGATCTTCAGACTTAGTGTACCAAAATCGACCAACCACGCGAGACGACATGAAACAGCACATTAAAAACGCAATAAATAGTATATCAACAGCTGAGATTGAAGCAGCTGATATGTCTACGCGCGAAAGATAACATCTTTGTGTGGACAACGATGGAAAACAATTTAAACATTTAATTTGACATTAAGTTTTAATGATCGAGATATTTGTATGATCTTTCACATATTTAATTTTAAGTTATAATAAAGGGTGAGCCAATACTATACTTACTTATGTTTATGCGTTTTTATTCATATCTCGAGTTCGACAAAAGCTATCAACATACAGTTTGCGCCATTTTGTTAAGAATTTATTCCAGTTCCATTATAATTGACAATAAATAGGTGTTTTCATTAAACATTTTGAAGAAAAACAAATTTTAATTTTTTCTATTCGAAAGTACCCTCTACCCATGACAATTAAAACTAAATGCAATTGTTTTATAGTATATTTAAATTAAATCATCCACACTCTTTCTAATGACACTAATTTCGTTAAAATCGGTTGATCCAAACCAAAGTTATTGGTATTTATACTTTGCCACTCTCCCCCACCCTTTATTTGAAAAAAAATAAAAAAAAGTACTTTAACAACTTTGTAAGGAATTTAGGCCTCTTTCTCGCTTACTTATTTAACACTTGGTATAATTGGGCATATTTCACAAAAAACTGGTTTTCAAATTTTTCTTCACAGGTTACGCCCCCTAGCAGTTATCCCAGAAACTTAAAAGTTATTTCCAGCGATTTCTCTTGGCCACTTTTACTAAGGAATTTTTTCTCCTGAAGTTATAACATGAATAGTTTCTGATATATAGCCGAGAGATCGGCTTATTGGACCACCCGGTACATCAAATGAACTTTTCAGAGCAGCCGTCTCAAAAGTCCGAATAGCTATGATGATTGCCGACCTCCGCCGCGGAGATGGCACTTGAAGAAAAATAATATAGCAGTGGCGCACCCAGGGGGCTTTTGGTAGTAAACCCCCCCCCCAGGAGCTCTATTCCGACACTGTTACTCACAAATTTTAAGAACTGAAAATGGTGGAGGTAGCATAAAAAAATTTCGGTGTCCAACCAAACCCCCCCAGAGGAAAATTTTCTAGGTGCGCTACTGTAATATAGGATATAGGAACTCCGTGTTATTCATTTGGATTTTTGTCACAAAAAATTGATCACAAATACGAAGATGAATCAAAAAAGGTCAAATTTTTATTTATTAGTACTTATTTCACATGACGTGAAGACGATCACGTCAATAACGCTAAAGTGGACTATAGTGGATTTTGTATACGGTTTAGTTTCTAATAATCTACCAATACTACAATTTTTTACAAAAGTTTTTGTTCAAGGACCACAATGGTTCATTTAATAGACATAATAATGGATGCACACCCATTATTCAAATAGTCAATTTTCACAGTTAGCGTTGCGAAAAAATGTTACGTATGTTATTGGTTTATTAACATAAATACCCAAGTTTCAATGTCAGGTTATTATCCACAGCGCATTTAACCTGTTTTTTGTTTAAATTCTTTTGTGAGAGATAAACAAAGAACATATTTCAATTCTATTCTGCTACATACAAGATGAGTGTATAGATGGTTGCAGATAATATCCAGATTATTTCCACAAGATTTGCGTACCTAATCATTAGGTTCAGTACTACAAATAATCTGTTCACAATTTGTCGATAGCTCACTACAAGTTTAACACTAATTAGAGAACTAAATAATATATTCGATAAATTTGATATGATCCTGAGGTCGTTGTATTCAATCTTCTTTGATTCCAGGACATTCATTAATTCTTCTTCTTCTTCTTTTGGCATCATAAACCTGGATGGGTCTTTGCCTGTCTGGCTATGTCCTTCCATTCAGATCTCTCTTGTGCCCTTCTTCTCCATTGTCTTATGTTCATTGTTTTCAAGTCGTCTTCCACGTCATCCAACCATCTCGTTCTGAGCCTTCCTTTTTTTTTGCCTTCCGATGGGCTTCCATTGTAACATTTTCTTTGTTGTTTTTGCATCGTTTTGTCTCTGCACATGTTCCAGCCATGACAGTCTTTGACTTTTCACAAATCTTACAATGTCATAACCTTCATTTAACTCATTAACCTCGTCGTTTCTCCCGATTCTCCATGTGCCATCTTCCTCTTGTACCGGGCCATATACTTTCCTCAGTATTTTTCTCTCAAATGTCCTGAGTTGGGCTTCATCTTTTTTCGTCATTACCCAAGTTTCACATCCAAAGGTTACGGGGAATATGTACTAATTACAATATTTGATATATTTTTGTTTCTTTTCAGATATTCCTCCTGCTCTTCATCATCTTATACGTATCAAGTTTCGCCTTGCTGTGCAGATTCAAACGTCGAGGCAGAGAAGACTACTTCAGTACCGACGAAGATGAAGTCACCGTTTATAGGATCAGCACGTGGCTATGTTCTTTCTCTTTGGCGGTTTCTATATTGGCAGTACTACTGCTGCCCATATCGATCGTCTCCAACGAGGTGCTGGTCAACTATCCCAACAGCTATTACATAAAGTGGCTGAATTCATCGCTTATACAAGGTAAACAATTATTGTTTATTTAATTACAATATTTTTACTATTAGTAAGACTCGGTGGTTGAAGAACTAGGATTTTTGATTGATTTCAAGGAATTCAAGGTTTCCATTGATGAAGTTTTAAAAGTGTGTATTGAAATTTTTGCCTAGTGCAATCTTTATCATCAGCATTCGACACGGAACGAGTCTTGGCGCAACCCTACTCATATTCCTATATAAATTATATTAATTTTATCATCTGTAATTGAAGTTAAATTGATATACAGATGAATATCAGTCCGTTTCTGATATATTGCAACGAAATTGTATGTAGTTTGTGTTGCAAATTATGTTTTAAAATTAGAAATCTCGTTTTTTTGTATAAATTTTGTATAATGTTGTTGACATGAAGATCTTGTTTTTGCATCAGTTTTCATGCAGAGTTCGTTCACTAGAAAGATCAAGTTCTTATTATTTTTTACATCAGCAATGTATATTGATTATAAAAGAGGTCGTTGACTGAAAAGTTTACTTGGCCGATCCTGCGATTGCCGAATTAAACCAAGAAATTATGTTAATCGCATTAATTTAGTTCGCATTATACAATTATGTATTTATACATTGCTAATACAGAGCAATCGTATTAGAGTAGGCCTTGGAATTACCGTTACTTTGGTTGGCTTTCTTTAACAAAAAAAAATAAGTCGAAAACACTTAACTTTTGTAACTTTTGTCAGAAATGTTATAAAAATGATAAACAAATTAATATTAACTTTAATCAAATAAAAGGCTTATATCGAGCACATTTTTTTCTTAAATCTTGCTCAAGTACCTTTGCTCGTAGAACATTTCAGGGGCATCTGAAATAAGCCAAGAAGATGTCCCTGAAGATGCTCTAGGAGCTAAAGTACTTGGCAAGATTTAATAAAAATAAACAAATTTTAAATCCGCAGACGACATAGATTTGTTCTCGGACAACTTCAAGTCGATATGTACAATACTACATGAACTTCAGTTAGTGTGTGTCAGTGTGGGTCTTAAAATAAACATCTCCAAAAAAAAATTCATGACAAACCTAGTAGGATGAGGGCTGAGTGATGATAATGATGATGACACTTCAACTTAGGTCAAGAAACCTGTCCAGGCAAACAAAATGTAAATTGAATAGTAAAGATAAACCACGTAAGATGTGTTACCGCGTGTTAAGAGTGACCCTTGAAAGCCAGACCCCCTCCCCACCACCAGAATATCTATGTTCCAAAACCCAGTAGGAAGTAGAACTAGAGAAAGCCTAGATAAGATATCTCGACGACGTGGAAGAGGATCTCAAAACAGTTGGCATTAAACGATCTAGAAGAAAAGCATTTGAGAGGAACAACAGGAAGAATGTCCTGAAGTAGGCCAAGGCCCACGAAGGAGTGGAGAGCCATGGTGATGATGAATCAGCATTTCTGTCGTTAGTTTTCGTTTGTGCTTTTCGTATGCTAATCTGGATAGTTCTCAAATGAATAATGTTCTTCTTGGAAGCCGTTTGTTGTTGCAGAGCGGTGCTATATCTGTACTAACTTAGCCGTGACTTTCCTACATATTGAAAGAAAAAGACAATACTTCAGATTGAAATAATACAGAAAAATTATCTGGCTCTCATGTTTGGTCAATTACATATGCATTAATTTTATAAAAAAACAAATTATACAAATAATATGCTGTAAGGCGTAAAAATGCTTCCCACAATACTAAAATCGTTAGAATAACATTAATCAAAAACAAACCATGTTAGTACGTGATCGTTAATTAAAATAATGTTTTACAACTTGTTTTTGATAAAATACCCAAAGCTAATAAACATCATATTATCATAAAGAACAAACATACATAGGTGTTTTCATTCATCGTCGAATGTACTCGTATATTTATGAAAAAAAAATATATTTTTATTCTTTTATACCTATAAGTATATATACCGCATAAGAAACATGAGAATATAAAAAAAAGATAATATATTATAGTGATCACCAGCTATAAGAAACCAATGCTGCGCATCCTTAGTATTTCGCAATTTTCTGTATTGTCCAATAAGTCCTTCTTGATATTTTTATTTGTTTCATTAACGGTTTCATTTTCAGCAGATTGATATTCTATAAGATGAACTAGTTCATCCGGAAATTGATTTTGAACTCTTTTTAAATTGTCTTCCTTGCTGAATAAATTGTTTTTATATCTCGAATCCAAGAAAGAAGCTTTACCCAGTATAATATTGTTTTCAGGATTTCTTCAGATAGAGTGTTTCTTCAAAAACGATTTTGTAGAGGTTTTTAAGAGCTACAAGGATCTGTGAATTAAATCTTTTTGGAACCCTTGGTTTTTAAATGGGGTGAGTTTAAAGGGCTCGAAAAAGATGGTGCTTGATCGTAAATCGAAGCTTTAAACGGCTATATCTCGCCAAATATTCATTGTACAACAAATCTAAATAAAGGAAAATTTTAGTCATTAAAAAAAGCTGCAATTTAATACATTTTTATTTTTTTCATATATTCAGTATTTTCGGGGATATTTAAAAAAAGAAGGGTAAAAAATATGAAATTGTAAATCGTTTCTCGCTTTATGCTGTACTTTTTCTAAAACTAAGCATTTTAAATGAGTCAAACTTCTTGGACGTATTAACAATACATGTACAAAGAGAATTGCAGAAGGGTGAAGATTGATTTTAATTATGGGGGGTTAGGGGGTTGTTTTCATCGATTTTTTCGTGAAAAAATGAGGTATTGACCTTATTTTCATCATAACTCACTCAATTTTTGAGCTAGAGTATTTTTTTATGATAGGTCTATTTATGCTCTTTAAAAAAGGTTTTGTGAGTTTCCTTCCAAAAATGCATCATTTTCCCGATATTTGACTTTGAATCTTTCAAATTTGGCATTTGAAGAAAACCGCTGAACATTGATAGCCGTATTTCGGTTCCTGTTATATCGCAAAAACATTTTAAAAAATGAATTGTATTTGTCTTTTTAAAAGCTACAAATTTGTTCTCTACAATTTTTTTTGATAAAATGCACCATTTTCGAGTTATTCGCGAAAAATCGATTAAAAACGTCGATTTTTTCGTCTAAAAGTTGTTACTTTCAATCGCGAATAACTTGAAAAATATCAGTTTTACAAACAAAAAGTATAGAACATTTTTTGTTTAGAATCACATTTTTAGTCGAAACCTGTAGTTAAAACGTAAAAAAAATTTCACCCCCGAGATGGGGTGGCAACCACCTCCAAGGCTTTGGCGCACTTTGGTTCGATATAGATTTTGATCCTTGGCTATTATCTACCTTTTGTTAAAATTTCAAGTCAATCCACGCAGGACGAAAAAATTGCGAGGTGAAATGCTTCATGTCCTGGACTATAAGTGGTTTGACAGCATAATAAAATCGTAGATTTATGTGTAGCTTTAAATTTTTATGATTTCAGAATCCAGCAGCCCGCTGAAGTATTGGATTTTTATAATATAATTATTTGACAACCTTTTGTTGGTCAACCACCTACAGCAGAATTGAGCCGAAATACATAATATTTCGTATGTTCCGAATTTATTTCGTTCAATCTGTATATGATAATTCACACAATGAGCGAAATATGATAAACCCGCTTACAATATACAACCACACTGATTCTAACATTTATATCGCAGAAGCATAAGCGTGTGGTATAAATAAGAGAAATTTAACTGTAGAGGGTTAGACTAATAAATATATTTTTGTTCAGTAAATAAATATTATAAATGAATTGTGTTTTTAGTGTTAGTGTTAAAAGACTGTAAATAAAAATAAAATAACTGTACAATGTCCAAATCGTGATATAGGTAACTCATAAGTACGTTATTTATTTGGCAGCAGTTCTCTCAAACCTCGACTGATACGACTCGATTTTTTTATATTATTAACAAGTTAATACATTATTAAGCTAGAACATAGCAAAACAGCATATAAACAATATACTGATTCAAAGAAACTGCGTTTTAACATTTACAATCTCCTATTTACTTGATAACAACAGTATTTACAAAATATTAATCTTATGTTTAAAATTAACATCGTACCAACATAAATTGTTTTCTCAAAGGGAACATGAAAAAATATCGTACAACTTCCTGACTTCCTGATAAACAAAAGCAATGATTGATAATAACCCAACAGCTTCCATAAATCAATGTAAGATAAAAGGTTTGTTTACTTACTCAAGTGACCTGTTTTAGTTAAGTGACCTTTCGTAAATCTTAAATCTTGCATGAACCTTATAACGTCCTTCGAATATTGGGTGTTATCTGGCAACATTGACTTCTTGATTATGTTTTTCTTCTTTCAGTTTGTCGATCTCTCGCTGTTCTTGCCTATTGTTTTATTTAATATAATATATTGGTTTAGTTTTGCAGTTTAATTATGAATTATGTCTTTCGAAGTTTTTATGTCCTCAGCGCTTTAATGTTGTAATGTTTATTTTAATTTAATTAGTCTTTTAACCCTAGAACCGTAAGGTGGATCTTAATTGGACATAAACCGTAAGGTGTTGTCATATCTGACACCATATAAATATAACGAAAATTTTTACTACCAAAAGGAAAAACTAACTTTTATCGACCCTTCTGTTTGCACTTCTTGGACAAATGTGGCAACGTGTATGGCCTACTAGAATCTAGAATACTTTCCTGCACTTGTCCTACCCTATTATCTTCGTTTGAATTTTTAGTCTATCCTCTATATATGGAATTACGCACAGATTTTAGCTGAAAAAATCGACGAATTTGTGTGCTGATAAATAAATCAATATATAGCTGCTCTTTAGCCAAGTGTTCAGGACTTGGAAAATGAGTCACCAACAATTCTATTAAATTTCGAGTATTATACTATTTACTACAATACGCATTTTCGCAATATACTAATATATTATCCAATTTCAGGTTTATGGAATTACGTGTTCCTGTTCTCTAATCTCTCTTTATTTATCGCCCTCCCTTTTGCCTACCTGTTCACCGAATCTGAAGGATTCTTCGGTCATCGCAAAGGACTGACGGCACGAGTGTACGAAACCTTCACCGTCCTGGGTCTACTGGCACTCGTAGTCTTGGGCATGACCTATGTGATATCTGCACTTATCGATAAGGATAAATCTAGTATACAAACAATCTTAAGTAAGTATTTTTATAATATTATATGGTCAATAAAAATTAAATTGCAGTGATGAAAGCTTTTCCAGTAGAAGTTAATGGAGTAATTGGTTTTAATGATGATTTTTTATCACGATAGTGGATTATTCAAATCACCCTATTGCTTACACAGAAGAGTCGTGGATTTATTAATCGTGACACTTTACATTTAGAAATATAAAGTAATGTAAACAATAGTAGATATTTATAATTTGCTATATACATAATGCATAATGTATTACATTATTTAATTCTAATCTCAATATTAAATAAGATTCAAAATAGTATTCCTCATACACACCATACCCTCCTTTCCACGATATTGAAGTTCAGGCGCACCAATCACGCGCCTCGACTTTGCCTAGTCCTTCCCTTTTGAAACTTTTAATTATTTTAATTGGTTGAGAAATGAAAAGGTTTCATATAAAAGTTAAATAACTAATGGGACATTTTCGGATCTCACTTCAGTCTGGTTTTACCCTCAGAGGGTAGCCGTCGAGCTCCTCACTTGAAGGACTCGGCAATTTTCCGCGAACACCTTAAGACTCTGACGTTGACCTTTTTTTCGCTTCATAATAGTGTGTTTTATTTCAACAACCTTCAATAAACATACAGGCATTGTCTTTTTCAAGACAATGCCCCAAAAGAGCGTCCCGGACTAACATCGCAATATTGTGCAATATTGCGCAATCTTAGATCATGGCGATAATAATAACCATAGGAAATGCACATAGTTGCTTTTACGTTTTTCCATGGCTTATTAATTCCGGAGACGACATGGCGCCCAACGTGGGGCTGGCATGAAGACGCGAGGCCCTCAGTATCCGGCAGTCCCTTGCAACTAGGCTATGGTAACAATCAGAGGGTGCTAAGAATCTCCGGAGGGGACCAGGCTACCTATACAAACGACAACGGCAAAGAATATGGTTTATGGCAACATATAACCCCAGAACATTGATGGAGGACGAAAAACTTGAGGAACATGAAAACGAGCTGAAGCATATAAAATGGGATATACTTGGATTAACTAAAGTACGGCGAAAAGGCGAAGAACAAATGGTACTTTCGTCGGGAAATCTATTTCACTATAGAGGAGAATCTTCTAATAGTGGCGTCGGATTTATGATAAATAAAAAACACATGAAGAATATACTTACAATTAAAAGAATAAGTGATAGAGTTATTTATGTTATCTACAAAGTAAACGAAAACATTTGATTAAAGATCATCCAGGTATACGCACCTACCAGTGCCCACACAGACGAAGAAGTTGAATGGTGCTACGATGACGTTAACACTACGCTAGAGGAGGTAACCACCATCTATACCATACTGATGGGAGACCTAAACGCAAAAATAGGCCACAAGCAGGATGATTCGGTGTTTGTACTTGGACCTCACGGATATGGCGACAGAAACGAAAGGGGTCAAAGTCTTATAGAATTTCTTCTGAAACACAGACTATATGTCATGGACACCCATTTTAAGAAAAGCTCCCAAAGAAAGTGGACTTGGCAATGAACAAAAGGCTCGCCAGAAAAGTAATCAATAAAATCCAAGTGGCACAGAGAACGATGGAGAGTCAATGCTGGATATATCCCTCTGAGACAGAGCAGCAAATACAATAGTTAGGAGAAAAACTGGTGTTACTGACACAAAGGATTACAACATTGAAATGGAACTGGGCGGGGCATGTTACCAGATTAAAAGATGGAAGGTGAACGAAGAATATTCTGGAATGGAGACCTAGATACGATGCTTATCGTAATCGAGGACGTCCTCCAACAAGGTGGTCAGATGACATCAAGCGCATTCAGCACAACTGGATTCAGGGTGCTCAAAATAGAATGCATTGGAATTATTTACGGGAGGCCTGTGTCCAGCAGTTGACTCAAAACGGCTGATGATGGATTATACAGATAGTTTAATGCAAATTGCAATAAAATAATTCTTTAATTTCATTTACTTTCAGTAAGTTCACATTTGACTAATAAATTTGTAACACAACTTTCAAATACACTTTATATTTTATTGTAATAACTGTGTGTGTGTAATTATTTTTTTTTTATTTTTATTGTAGGCCTTTGGACTTATTACCTGCCATTTTTATATTCCTGCATATCATTTTTTGGGGTCTTGATGCTTTTAGGTAAGTTGTTTTTATTTTAATTCATAAATTTGATAATATTTCTAATTAGTAATTTTCTAAACAAGAGTAGAACAATATCTGGCAATTACTATTGGACGTTACTGTCCCCTTTAATAGAAACAATTATTCAAAGAATGCGCAGACAGTCGTTCAAAAGAATTTTGATTTTGCAGAACATAAAGTCTGTAAAGTAGTAAATTTTCTAATAATTGATGGATTCGACCGTTACTTGATGGAAATTCATTTTATGTAACAATAAAACACTGAAAACTTTGTTTTCAAACTTCCACAAAATTTATTTTAAATATTATCACTACAGCTGTTTCGGCTGATTGCCTTTTTCAAGTGATCTATTTTGGCTTGGGTTTACAAATTTATAGTCTCTAATGAAATAGGTTGAGGAGGGGAGAACTGTTTGTCTCAAGTTGGTCATTCAGAATTATATCTGTGTTTTTTAATTTGTTGATTTCCATAGATTCTAACAAAGATAGCTTAAGGCCTTTATTTTGAATGTGAAGAATTTTAAATTTGTCATTAAAAGAATGATTATGGTCTAGAAGGTGAAGTGCGTATGTCGAATCTGTTTTTCTATTCTTGAAAGCTCTTTTATGTTCTGCTATTCGTTTATCAAAGTTTCTACCAGTTTGACCGATGTAAGTTTTTGGGCATTCGCCACATTCAAGTTTGTACACACCACTATTTAAGTGTTTTTTATTTTGGCTCTTGTTATTTTTGATATATTTGCCTAGGTTGTTATTTGTTCGGAAAGCTGGTGTTATTCCTTTCTTTTTTATGTGTTTGGCAATTTTTGTTGTTATTTTGCCTGTATATGTAATCGAGCAGAAGGTACTGAGTTTTTTCTCTGGTGGTGGAAATACTAATTTCAGGGCTTTCTTGTGTAGTTTTTGATTTAACATTTTATTAATTGTTTGTTCGTTGTATCCGTTGTTTACTGCTATCTGCTTAATTATATTTAATTCTGTCTCAAAGTTGTATTTTGACATCGGAATTTCTGTTAATCTATGTAACATACTATGATAAGCTGCCAGTTTATGTTGTGTTGGATGGGATGACGTCATCCCATCAGTATGAAGACGTTAAATGACATATTATTTTCGAGGTTTATAGCAAGTTATATATAAAATTATTTATCTTGTTCAGCAAAGTAGGCCTCCACCGCTGCTGAACTTCTTCGTTGGAAGAAAATTTACTGTAACAATAAAACACTGAAACATCATAACTGTATTTCATGTACAAATTTTATAATTTTTTTTTCTATTTGCAGTATGTACCCCGTTAGGATTCGTAAGACTTTTCGACGTAGTCGGCCAGTTTCTCGTCAAACCCCAGTTTCTTCGCGATCTCAACGAAGAGTATTTCTCGTGCGCCTTAGAAGAAGAGTGTCTTCGCAGACGCTTCAAACAAGCTCAAAAAACCGGGAAGTCCTACGTGGATCCGGCGCCCATGTCCATCGGCTTAGAAGGGCCTATCAAAGACGCCGACTACCATTTGCCTGAAAATTTGTTGAGATTGAGAAACGGAGAGTTGCAGTTTGGACTCGCTAAAAGACTGAGTGAAATCGAGAAGAGGAGACAAATTTTAGGTAAGAAATTCGCTTATTATTTGAGCCGTGTGGAAGCTAAAAAGTACTGTAACCCGGTCGATATTTTTATTTGTTTATCGTATGTCACATTACAGAACAGTGTCCCACAAGATTGATCCAGAATCAAATGGTCCTTCATTAAAAATCCGGCTCGAAGGACCAAATGTTTAAATTCATTATAAATGCATCGAAGCACTAGCGGCTTGCCTCTGTTCTTCTTAACGGACTCAGGGGGAGGACAAATGTATTGATTACTTTATACAACCATATTTGAATTTAAACAAAAGGAAACATGTTTTTTTGGATCCTTACAATTTTTCTTGCCATATGACCGGGGTTTTGGAAATATCTAACGCGGTCTAAAATTTTGGTCTATGTGATGTTAATTGTTGTTTTAACTTGTTAAATTTCTTTATTTACATTTAATCTGCAATTGTTCTTTTTCTTGTTTTTTTCAGATAAACAGAGACAAACTTCTTCTTTTCGAAGAAACGTCGTTTATCCAATAGCTATGCTACTTCTTCTCAGTTTAACGGTGATAGCTGTGCTACTAGTAGTACAAAACACTTTATCGCTGCTTATAGGCATTAAAGCTTTACCAATCAGCTCGAAGGTAAGAGTATACATTTTTGTTAGTTTTTCCATTTATTTTTCAACATTTTTGCTCAATTTATAAGTGGATATTGTATCAAATTAATCACTAAGAAATCAAAATGAAACTCGAAAGTTCTACAGAAATCTAAACAAAATGCGCAAAGAGTTTAAGCCAAGAATAAGGAGCTGTAAGGATGTAGAAGGAAACATCCTAAATGATACGGCCTCAATCCTAAACAGATGGGTTGAATTTTTCGATGCAAAATTTAATGGCCATCATATCGAAGAAGCAGATAGCACCCTAGCAAATCGAAATGATTGGAATCCTTTCAACCCAAACGAAAGACCACCTACCATCGAAAACGTTGCCCAAGCCATTAAAAAGCTTAAAAATAATAAATCACCAGAAGTTGATCAAATTTGCAGTGAGCTCTACAAGAATGGTGGCGATGCCCTACTACAGACACTGCATAAGCTTTTACTTCTTGTTTGGCATAATGAGACCAAGCCTTGTGAATGGTCTCAAGCGTGATATGCCCGTTACATAAAAAAGGTGACCAGCTCCAGTGTGACAACTATAGAAGTATAACCCTGTTAACAACTGCTTACAAAATACTAGCAAATATTCTCTACGAAAGGTTGTATGTTTACACAGTGGGCATAGTTGGTAAATATCAAGTTGGATTCACTCCAGAAAAATCAACAATTGACCAGTTTCATTCAATAAGACAGATTCTCGAGAAAACATTAGAATTCAATATTGAAACCCATCACCTATTCGTCGACTTCAAGGCCGCATATGACAGTGTCAAGAGAACAGTGCTATACCAATCAATGCATGAGTTTGGTATACCAGAGAAACTTATCCGACTAACGAGAATGACAATGTCTAACTTAGAAGCCACTGTTAGAATACAGGGAGAGAGTTCTAGATCCTTTGAGATAAAGGATGGACTCAGACAAGGAGATGCTCTGGCTTGCCTCCTATTTAATATTGCCTTAGAAAAGGCAGTCCGAGATACACGAATTAGGGATGGCGGTACTATTTACAATAGATCGATACAAGTCTTAGCATATGCTGATGACATTGACATAATAGGGCGTAGCAAGCGAGATGTTGAGCAATATCTCCTAGAATTGGAAGCAGCGGCGAAACAGGTCGGTCTAGTCATCAACGAAGACAAAACCAAGTACATGTTGGTTACAAAGGATCCGATAGCAAATGAGGAACGAGAAACAGTCTTTGGAAGTCATACCTTTGGACGTGTTGACAACTTCACATACCTTGGGTTGCTATTGACTGCTACCAATAAAACAAGCGAAGAAATCAAAAGACGAATAAATCTTACAAATAGGGCATACTATGGACTCCAAAAGCATTTCCACTCAAGAAACATTCAAAGAAGAACCAAAATTATTATATACAAAACATGGCTGAGGCCGGTCCTCACATATGGAGCAGAAACATGGACTCTAACGCAGAAAGATGAAAGACTTTTGGGAATATTTGAGCGTAAAATACTCCGCAAAATATTTGGAGCTGTAAACGACCAAGGGCAGTGGCGCAGACGATATAATTTTGAATTGTATCAGCTCTTTGATGAGCCAGATGTCATAACCTTCATTAAAACACAGCGACTTAGATGGGCTGGACACATAATACGAATGCCAGAAAATACCATTGCTAAAAAGCTAACCACAGGAACACCTGTAGGAAAAAGAAGCAAAGGCCGACCGCGAATTAGGTGGTTAGATGGAGTAGAAACCGACTTACGAATATTAAAAATCAGAAGATGACAACATGTTGCCAAAAACCGAACAGAATGGCGACGAACCTTAGAGCAGGCAAAGATCCACAGAGGATTGTCGAGCCAAAGATGATGATGATGATTGTATCAAATTGTTGAACTTGCTTTTTTAAAGTGAAAATTCAATACCCTGTTTTGTTTTTAGCAATTTACTCTAGGAGTAAGTTCCTTATCGAAGCTGGGACTGTTCGGAGCCTCATTAGAAATAGTTTTGATCGTTTACCTAATCGTCACTTCGTCCATCGGGCTGTACACGGCGCCGTGCATGAAGAGAATAAGACCAAAGCCTAGGAGTACCCCGTTTAGCATCGTGATAGGCAACTGCGCCCTACTAGTTATTATCAGTTCAGCTTTACCATTGTTATCGAAAATATTAGGTAAGTGTCTAGACTTACACTCACTATCTAACTATTAACCAAATAAATTAATACATTTTTGAAATCAAATAAATACAGTACATCCTTGATACTCTGACATTTTGCAATCCGACACACTCGGTAGTCTGACACTCCTCCCGTCAAGGTCGCCGCTGTGTCTGCTTGTACTGAAACCTCTCGCGACATGAATCTCATTCTTAACTGATGCTTCATTAAGAAACTCTCACCACTAATGGATTCAGCGTCCTCGAATTAGGTTTGATGAGTGAGCTCTCTTCTTGTTTACTAACCACAAGTGTGACGATAATATATTTTATCGTCTAGAGTACGCCTATGTGTTAAACAAAACACGTTTTTGTTCCGTCTCGAATAGTATAAAAGTCGAAACTGAAAGACAGCTAACCATTCTCGACGCGTTGAGTTAAGAATATTCGACCTTGGGGACAGGTGAGTTGAACGTGTCCCAAATCCTTTCCGAACCCAATCGATCTGGCGCGCTGAGCGAGATTGACAATCCTTCCTCTGACCGCGTCAATCTGGTGCGTTGAACGAGATTGGCGTATTCTTTCCATCTAGTGTGTTGAACTAGATAGACATCCTTATCCCCGTCCGAGTACTCGTTCTGCGTTGAGGAACGAGTACGACTTCAATTCCTCGATCGCCATATCATAGTTTATCGTATCGAATATCGTCACACCCATCTACCGAAATAAACAGTACGTTCTTGTATTTAAGCATTATATTCAGTAAACACTGAACGTTAATTTTTTTTTTTATTTGTATATGTTAGTTCGGAATAAATGTCTATACGAACGAATCCTGTTTCTCTGGCTGAAATACACTACCCGACGTCGCACAAGTACCTTTGTATTTCTTGTATTTATGCTTAGTCTGTTATTAGAGCATTCTCTAGTGACTCGATCTATAAGGAATTGAAGATCTTCGATACTTTCAGTCATGATCGCGGTGTCATCTGCATATCTGATGTTGTTAATAGTTTCTCCCTCGATTCGAACTCCACATTACCCTTCCAAGGCTTCATTTAAAAATTATTTCTGAGTAAACGTTAAACAAAGTTGGGGGACTACACACAGCCCTGTCTTACACCTCTTTGAATACAAATTTTGTCTACCAGAATTGAAGCTTCTTGATTCCAATATAGATGTTGTAAAAGTCCCAGATCTTTATCATCTATTCCAATTATTTCTAGATATACAGAGTGAATTCTAATACTTTTCAATTTCAGGTATAACAAATTTCGATCTTCTGGGCGACTTCGGAAGCATCGAGTGGCTAGGCAACTTCAAGATAGTCCTCTTGTATAACATCCTCTTCGCCACAGCGTCTACGCTCTGCGTGGTCAACAAGTTCACAGCCAAAGTCCGTCGAGAGCTCTACAACCGGTTAGTTGAGAACTATCTGTTTCTTGCTAACTGCGTCTCATTCATTAACTAATACCATCTGTGTGACAAATAAACGTTGTAGACGGGACTCTTTTAGTTAAATTGTTGGTATAGAGATGTAATAACGTACTATACAAACGCTTAACTTTATTTAAACAGGCATAAGCAGTAGGAAAGTAAATGAACGTTACATATTTTATATAAATCTGTTCGTTGCTTTGGAAATGTGAACTATAGAAAGTTTATTCAAAAAACAAATAAATAAAAAAATCTGAAAGTATTTACCAAAAAGAACAAGATAATTTTTGTAAGATAATATTGAAGATTTACCTCAAGAGTTAAATGTTATTACTTGGCAGAATTAAGTAAAAGATTCACAGAAATAAATGTGACCCAAAAGCTTTTTTGGGTGGTATATTTTAACTTACTCAGATTGCGATAGTTTAACAACTTTTGTAATAGTATCGATGTGTCGAATAGCTAAGCCAGAATTACAATACGAATGAAAATTCAGCGCCTTTATATTAAGTTACGTGCCTCAATTGTTCCAGTTTTTCAGAACCTCTGCCTTGTCCACTCGGTGAGTGACACAAGTATCCGATGCGCGCGCAACTATATCCATGATTATGCGCGCGCAGCGCCTATTGGCGTGAATCATCGCGCATGGAAGAGGTGGAATTGATGAAAAATTAGATATGGATGCAAAATATTATAAAACAATTCATTCGTATTATATTTTCTTGACAATTAGCACACATTTATGCTACTACAACTGATCTAAAACCAGTACGTTGCTCCAGTCTCGCTAAAACAAGAGAAATATTTTGACGAGAGAACAAAATCGAATTTCATTGTTTATTTGAGAGTTTACTACATTATTTGCCCAGAAAAATGTGGGACATTTAACTTTTTATGTCTCTATGGATCCATTGTAAGAGAATTTCAGTCTATTGCGTTCCCACTAAGCAAATGTGAGGTGTAATGCATGGGCACAACTGTCTTACCATCATTTATCCAATTGTTTTATTTACTAAATCTCATACTGCACCTTAATGTACTATTTTTCTATATTTTGCAAATTTACACGAATTTTTATATACTTTCATTCACATTTATATTAACAATTGTTATTAAAAGAGTCTCACATTCGAGATTTTCTCGAAATGACTGATAGATACTAACATTAATAACCGAAGCAGTAGAAACTTTTCATAAACCACAAATTTTCCAACAAAAGCTTCAAGTGTTTGGTTGTGGTCTTATTAATCTTCATTAATTGCTTTCATTTCCGCACCGTTTGTGAGTCAAGGCTTTTGTCGTAAGCACCGTTAGGTCGAGTGAAGTGTTCAATAGAGAAGTTGTCAAAAATAGCCTAAAACGCCACGATAATGTGACGTCATGATGACACATTTTTAAGGTTATGTCATTCGCGATTCTAAAAAGACTGAATTTATAGAGCTGTTTTTACAACAGTAACTGTAAACTGATCAGTGACGTTTTAAATTAATTATTAGTATTTGTATTAGCTATAAATAGCCCATAATACCAAAAGGGGACTAACATATACCTTGCTGAACAGTTAGGTACAAAATCTTTTATTTCCTTCCTGGAAAAACTGTGTTTCTCTTGCTAGAATAATCTTTTGAAAAATCTGATAGATTTAAAATTTGATTTTAGTTAATAATTACAGTTGACCTAACAAACTGACGTCGTGACGTCACAAAGAACGTGGCATGTACTATTAGTTTGAGTATAGTTCACTATTAAACATTTCACTACAGAGTTGAGCCAATATTTAATTTAAAAAAACGTTTTTTATAATATAAACAAGATATGTCTATAAGTATCTCTATATTTAATAAATGTATGTAAAGATTATTAAAGTGTATTGCAGAAAGAGGAGTTTTTCGTTTAAGATTTGCATTTTGACGAATTGAAATTGACGAAAATGATTTTTGACGGATATTTTAAATAGTGTTATTATTCTTTGTTTGGTTTTCGATTGAACTTGACGCATATGTGCGTCAAGCACACTGTTTACCTAATCATCACCGCTTCATACAGGTTAGAATATCGGGAAAGATTATTAAGCCGTATTGTTTACAAAAGAGTTTCTGATTCAAGTTTAGATTTTGGACAAATTGATAAAAAATTTGTTTGTAAATGTAAAGTATCATCAATAACTGATTTTTGGCGAAAATTTCAAATAGTTGGTGATGATCTTCCTTGTTTAGGTTTTAATTGAACATTACGCACATGTGCGTCATGCAGACGGCTACATCTGTACCTAAGGTGCATCGGTACGTCATAGTTTTTGATTGTGTTAAAGAAAGTGTTCAGATTTACCATTGTTCTTCTTCTTCGCGTGCCATACCAGAGTTTCCGATGTTGGCGATCACCTTTGCGAAGGCTTCCCATCCGAGTCCATTCACGAATTCCTCAACCAAGAAACGGTTTCCTTCCTACAATTCCACAGCCCTCTATTTTGCCTTTAAGAATCAGTTGCAATATTTTATATCGACTTCCCCTTACTATATGTCCCAGATAAGAGATTTTTCGATGTTTAACTGTCAACAGTTCTCTATCTTTGTTGACGCTCCTTAGTACTTCTTCATTAGTTTTCCTTTCTGTCCAAGGTATCTTCAGCATTCGTCTATGAACGCACCTTTCCAATTCTTTAATTTTGTTGACATAACACTTAACCATTCTTTGTCTTAGTTCTAAACTGAGATGATTATTGCAAAGAAATGACTCATTTTCGTAAAAGTAGAGTAAAAGTTTTACATCGTTAGTTGGGTCACGACTAAAACACTAAAAATTTGTTTTTGTTTGAGTTTATTTTAATTCCCATTTCCTCTTCTACCTCGTGAATAAGATCAAGCAGAATTTGGAAACCTTCAATATTGTCTTGGCAGAATTACTGTATCGTCTGCGTATCTAATCACATTAAGTAGTTCCTCGTTAATTTTTTATTCCATATGGTTGTCTCTCAAGTGCCTTTTTAAATAGCTGGTCCGAGTAAACATTGAACAATGTTGGCGACAAAATGCAACCTTGTCTGACTCCTCGTTGTATAGAGATTTCATCGGTGTAGTTATCTCCAATTTTTACGATAGCAATTTGATTCCAGTACAAATTTTTAATGATGCTAATATCCTTGTCATTTATTCCTATATTTTTGAGTATTTGCATTAATTTTACATGCTGTACTTTATCTCCCCTTAAACCATTTTTACCTTTACTATTACTGTACCATTTTGTCGCCACTTTCTCTCGTCCATTTTTTTTTGGCTAATTTGATCTCCTTTTTTATTCTTTTCTGTAGGTGTCTATATTCTGTTTCATTAGATTTGATCAGTCGACGTTGTTCCATTAATTTCAAGATGTCGTCTGTCATCCATTTATTTTTCTTGATTACTCCATGGTTTTTCTGGATCTTCTAGTTGTTCTCCGATGTTTTTTATTCTATTGTTAAATTCTTTTTTATGTTATGTTTTATGTTTATATCGTCAAAATTAAGTACATTGGTTTTTGGTTTTTGTCGCTGAGTTTGTTTTTAACATTAGTTTAATATTTGCTACAAGTGGTTGATGATCAGATCCAATGTATGCCCCAGGAAATGTAGTGACTTTTTTAACGGCATTTCAGAAACGCTCATTTACAAATATATAGTCTATTTGATTTCTTGAAGACTTAGGGTTATTGCCATCATCAAATGGGGCTTTCCAAGTGTATAGTCATCTCTTAGGTAGTTACCATTGTTTCTGAAATCTTAAAGTCTAATCAAAATTATTACTGCTAAAAAGAAGAATTTTGGCTGTCAAGTTTTGGTTGCTGACAAATTTTTAACCAAATCTCTCAAAGGTGACTAAATTCCATCGAGCAATAAGACAAAAGAGGGAATCTAATCCTTATGAAAAGGAGACCAAAAAAGTGGCCTCTGATGGCGGACATATCCGGAAATGCGAATGCGCGAAATTTAAATTTTCCGACACTTATCAACAGTAGCTATATAATATTTTTCAGAATGTGTCTTAGACGAGAAAGTTTTAATTAATTATTAATGATAAGAGTCTAAAATGCGACACAATTGTTAAAAAACTTCAATATAAATAAGATTTCATGTGACATTTAGGACAAACAATAACATAACCAAACTAAATTTGATGTCAAACAAGGAAAGAGACTGTCTTTCCTTGTTTAAAGTGGCCTCTAAAGATCGCACTTTCTGTCTAACAATATGTTTGCCCCCACTACCTTTACATTCCCTCTATTGTCTTTTTGCTCGATGCTAAATTCCGATGGGAAATTTGAAATAGTTGGTGATGTTCTCCTTTGTTCAGATTTTAATTAATCCTGCCACACTTGTGCGTCAGGTACATGGCTACATCAGAACCATACACCAAACGCATACGCATCGGTGTGTCATAGCCATTAATTATGTCAAGAATCAGTTACAAACTATACAGAATGTTTGTACTGAACTCTGTTTGTACATAAAGTTTGTTTGATTGTGATATCTAAAATATATTACATTTTCCTATAAATATAGAAAATTTCACTTATAAACCGCAAAAAAATATGCAAAATTCTGATAGAATTACGCAACAGACAGTTACACTAATAAAACAACTTGGATTTATATGTTACTCTGTGTACAAGTGTTAATTGGATGTGACGCACATGTGCGTCATGTACCTGGCTATTTTCGAAACTATAACGCATCGGTGCGTCATAACAATTGATTACATCATGAATCGTTACAAACTATACAGAATGTTCACAAAGATATTGGCCAAAGTATTGAAACCCATCTGGGAATCTAAAGTTCAACGTGTAGCCTAGAAAAGTGCAAAAAATTATGATATGTTTACAATTACGCCTCAAAAATTCCACTAACAAAAATAACACAGTCAATTTTTACTTAAAGTTTGTTTGTTTGTGATATCTAAAATATACATTTTTCTTATAAATACAGAAAATTTCACTTAGAATCGCAG